GCTACATCACTAGGCAATATAGTCTTATTCAGCCACCCTTTGATATGTATCCATGGTTGGCTGAACTATATTATACAGAGATAGAGAACAAGATATAGTTATGGAGTAAGAGTGAGGAGGAAATGGAGACTTAGGGCACAATATATAAAGTAGCAGGGAAGTAAGTAGGCTGGCCAAACATACAGCTGGGGGCTTACTAGCACAAAGGTTCATGTGTTAAAAATACTTTATCCTGGTCCGAGATGCGAAGGTGCTTAGCATGCGTGGGTGGAGTATTTTTGAAGACATCTGCACCTCCTGACTGGGAAAAGATGGTCAACGTTTTGAAAGGAGTGCTTATAGAATGTGATCCTGCCATGAAACAGTTTCAGCTGTACTAGGATGAATCTAATGCTCTAGGGAAAACATTCATCATTCAAGAGATTGATGACACTCACGTCTTTGTAATAGCAGAGTTGGTTAACGTCCTTCAGGAGCAAGTGGGTGAACTGAAGAATCAAAATGCTTTTTCTCTAACTCAGAAATGAAAATATTAGATATTGGATGCTTAGGACTTATAACAAACAAACATGAAAAACTATCTCTATTCAGTATCTTAATTTGACTATTTCAAGGATTTGTAAGAGCATGTTGTGGGAAAGACTGAGACGTGTTCAGACAGAGCCCTGAACTGATTTTGTTGTTTAAAAACAAAAGTTTGGATTCAGCTGTAATTTGGTAATTTGGCTTTTATTTTATGAAAATATAAATGTTTCTCTTAAAAAAAAAAGCTTTAGCCTCAAATTGATATGTCAATAGTATTGATGATGGGGCTTTTGGAAGATAATTAAGATTAGATGAGGTCATGAGGCTGGACACCTCATGATAGTGTCAGTGGCTTCACAAAAAGAGCCTCATGTTGCAGAATGATCGGAGCCACAAGAAACACAGCGAGGCTGGATGAAATCAACCACAGGGTCTCAGATGCTGTACGATTCATGATAGATCTCTGAGGACGAAGTTCAGGGAAAACAAAGAAGAGGATATTCACCTGGCAGCAGCTATTGGGACAGAACAATCCCTGAGAAAACATTTATTTTCTCAGAACTGTCTTAAGAGACCAGAGGAGGAAATCTTGTATACCTTAAAGTTTTAGGATAACAGCAATAGGTGACTGATCAGGATCTCATGATTTAGAGGGCTTTTTATACATTGCCTTTGTCAATGATTGGTACTTTCTAAGCTCTAAATAAATATGTAATGCATGCTCATTTGGAGGCTCAGACAGACAAGACATCTGAGACCCCATGACCAATTTCATCTAGCCTTTTTGCTATTCTTCTTATGGCTCTAATTGTTCTACAACAGCCTTGAACTAGTACCCTTGTTCTGTCTCACTGCCATGGTTTTTTTGTTTGTTTGTTTAATGTATTTAGTACAGAGTCCACAGGGTCTCACTATACAGATTGGACTAGTAGTGATCCTCCTGTTTTCAGTCTCCCAAGCGCTGGGATTACAGGCCCATATCCCCATGCCCAGTCTCAGTCGCTGTCTCAGCATGCCTTGGGAGTGTGGCAGCACAGCACGCCCAGGGATCGACCCCTACTCACTGTGCCTGCCTAAGCAGGCGCTCTAGTCCGCTGAGCTATCTAGCCAGCCCTACACTGCCATGTGTTGACGTGGCAAGAAGGATCTAGAAAATGCCAGCTGTGATAGATTAACTAATGGGCAACTTATAACACCCAGCCTTGAGGATTGTTGAATAAAAAAAAAACTGGAAGGGAAGATGGGGTGCTATTGATTCTTCTGGAGAAGCTGGTTGTGCTGGTTTGCCTGATACGAACTCTGCTATTATCATCAGAGGAGCTGAAGTTCTCCCTGTTGCTGAGGTTGGCTACAGTCGTTTTTGGTGCAGCTCTGGTCCTTAACTGGATCATTACTTCCTTGCTCCAGGGCAAACCCCTTAGCCTGCTGGCACAGAGTCTTTATCCCTCTTCATCAACTTTCTAGCTTCTACCACTTTGGTTCTTCCCAGTGCAGATCCTTGATACAGACTTACATGACACATTGTCATGGGTGCTAGGCTTCCTGTTGGACTCATAGAGGACACTGTCATGGGCTCTAGGTCTTCAGCTGGACTCATGCAAGACAATGTTATGGGATCCAGGTCCTGAGCTTTGAATCTCTAGTGTGTGGACACATCTCTCACACTCTTTTAATTTGACTCCTTGGGTGAATATTATAAAATAATCCTATAAGTGATGTGTCCTATATTAAATCTTTTGCCTTATGAACACTAACTACATCAGCAGATACTGGTATCATATTAGACTTCCCCACCTCCAGAACTGGGAGCTTAATCCACATCCAGTCTGTGGAATTCAGTTATAGCAAAGCAAAAAGGACTAAGACAGCTACTGAAGGTCAAAACTGTAATATTAAAATATCATTTAACTCATTCACAGTTTCATTTTAAATCCAGCAGATTATGTGTATTTTAATTGCCTTTGTAATAGTTAAATATATACACTAGAACCAGCAGGGCCTGAAGTTTCAAAACTGAACAGTTTTACATCAGCAAAAGAAGTGAAATATTTTTGCCTCTTGAAATAAAAGGTTTTTTGTTTTTCTGTTTGTTTATTTTAAAGGAGCTGGGGAGATAGCTCAGTAGAATAAGCACTTGCCTGGCAAGTGCAAGGTCCTGAGTTCAATCTCCGGTACCAAAAAAAACCAATCTTCCAAGAAGTAGTGAGTTCCTCAAAATCTTATTTGTTTCCAAACAACACTTGTTGAAGGTCTCTAACACTTTTTAAAGAAGGTTGTAGACTATAACTTAAGTTTTACATATACTTTTATATTCTTTAAGTTGAAGCCAGCCAGATAGCTCAGGGGATTAAAGCGCCTTCTTAGGTTCAATCTCCAGAGTGCCATGCCAGCCCCACCCCAGGGGCACGCTGAGACAAGATGGAGACTGGGCATGGTGGTGTATCCCCTGCACTTGGGAGACTGAAAACAGGAGAATCACTATGAGTCTGATCTACGTAGTGAGACCCTGTAGCCCTTGTACCAAATATATAAAAAAATAAATTAAACTAAATAAATTGAAAGGTCTAGTCACACTTTGGAATTTTTGTAAACCCAGATACAGTATTCTAGGGAATTATTTTTCATTCACCAAATTTCATCTTTCCTGCTTGAAAGATTGCTAGGAAAATGAGGAACAGAAAAGGAAATTTAAAATGCCCTAAGTAGAAAACAAGATGATGTAATGTTACTGAAACCATTGGCTACAATCTACCTAAGAAATCAGTAGCTTGGAGCATCCATGGGTAGAAGGCCAGCTGATCTCGGTACAGGCCACCTATACATCACCTGCTAGCTGAGGTGAATGATTGAAATTACAGATGCTAACAATAATGTGTGTTAAATGCATAGATCCAATCATGATGTTCCTCAGAATCCTTCAGATAATGTATTTCTAAGAAGAACAATTATTTAACAAAGATCTGACAATACATTTTTGGCTGCAAATTTTATTTGAAAAAAATATAAACGGTGAAAATACCCTTTTCTGGCCTTTACACTCCTGTGAACAAAAATAAAATTTCAAATCAGCTACAACCTGGAGGTTATCACCATACATACTGGTCATTCCACCTGAGGCTGGCACAACCGCCCCAAGGTCACCACAAAGACGGCCAAGATGCATCTTCATCGCATGCCTCTGGTTAAGCCTACTAGGCTGGGTTATTTCCTCCAAGGCTGACTCAAGCCAGGAGGAAACGGGACTGAGATGTAATATAGAGAAAGGGTGGGGCTGGAAGACTGGGGACACGAAGTGGCCTGAGCTTATAGAAGAAATAATGGGAGATCCAAAACACAGAAGCCCCCAACACAAAGTTAGAACACACTTCTATCAGAATGGGAAGGTAAATGCGTCAGACAAAAGCCTCTCCGCAGCCAACAGAGTCTCCCTTTACAAGCTCGTGGGAGTGGCCACCGGCAAGTGGGGCTCGCGGCCCGACTCCACATTCACCGCTGTGCCCCTACCTGTGCACCTTTCTTACCCACATGTCTGTCAACACTCACCTGGGAGGCAGAGCACAGCTGAACAGCCACTGGTTGCTGAAAAGTTATAAAACTGACTAAATGGGCTGGAGAGATGGCTCAGTGGTCTAAAGCACCTACTTGAAACAAGCTTGTCAAAGCACAGGGACTGCGGTTCGATCCCCCAGCACCACATGCCAGCCAGCCCCGCCCCCTGGTGGGCTGAGCTGGCCACACACACTAAATAAATGTAATAAATAAATAATTAAAAAAAAAAACTGACTAAGTGGCTGAGGCATCTGTCGCCTCCCTTCTCAAAGGTGATCCTTCTCCCCCACCTTCTTTCTCCCTTCTTGCAGGCTGGGTCCTAGCCTCCTCGCCAAGAGTTCTCCTTCCCACATCTGTTCCTCCCCGGGGTTTGGGAGGCTCCTGTAGAGGCAGAAATGTGGTTCGGGGCCGGAGGAGTGAGTAAGGTTATGGACATCAGGGTAGGCCAATGGCAAGGAACCTTTTAGAGATTTCAAGGATAATAAAGTCTGCTGGGGCCACAGGTTCGCCACAACCCAGCTAGTCCTTTGTGGACAGGGCAGGTAAAAGACTACATCTTGGGCCAACGTGCCCGGTTGCCACTTCTGTTCCATAACTATTTCCAGGGAAAGAAGAGCAGAGGTGCCAAGAGGACGCTCGGAAGGGTGTGGTTACGAACTCCCCACCTTGGATCATCCCCAGAGCCTCTCTCCCTCGGATCTCAGAGTCCTTCCTCTGCCTAGACCTCCAGAAGGAACTCTCCACCGCTGCCACCGCCAGAGGGCGCAAGAGAGGAGGAGGGATGCCGGGACCCAGCGGCCAGGAAGCGGCAGAAGGCGGGGTCAGAGTCTGGGGTGGGCGTGGCCACAACAGGGGCGGGGCCGAGGACGGAAATCCAGTTTCATTTCCCTCCCTCACTTCCGGCCCCGCTTCCTATTTTTACCGCCCCTGGCTTTAGAGCCAGCCTCCTCCTTCGCGACTAGTGTGAACAGTGTGTCGCTCCTCTCCCTTCACGCGGACGCCCCCTCCACCTCGCCCAGGATGCATTACCTAGTGCCTGGGTCATGGTCGCCGTCACAGGCACCCTCGACCCCACCCCCCGCCTGCCCGCCTTCCCTCTTTCCCTCCCCCCAGCCGCTGCCCACACGCGCCCCGAGGCCGCAGGTGCGGACGCGGCGAGATTCCACGCGCGCAGGGACTGGCCGGCCGGGACAGCGGGGCAGGCGAGGCGAGACCGCAGGGCGTCCCCAGGCTGATGTCGCAGGTGCGTCCGAACTCCAGGCACCGCTCTGGGGCCCGCGGCGCCTCCTTGGCCGTGCCCCAAGCCGTGGGGAGGGTAATGGGATTCCCGCGGAATCAAGGCGTCCCGCGCGTGTTGCACCCCTGAGTCTGCACCTCTGTACGTAGGGATTCCTGTCGCATTCCGCGGAGCCCTTAGCCCGGCTTTTGAGTCTGTGGAACGCCCAGTCTTCCTGTTATCAGAAAGATCACCAACGGTGTTCATCGCTAGTTATAGTTAAATTTAAGGAAATAATTGAACTCCAGTCGGTGTCTAGGAAGCCAGCGGACTTGCAGGCTGTGTACTGTGTGGACTCGTAGAAACACTTTCCACTTAGTGGATTTGTTGTCGCTGAAACTCGTTTCCACGTTAAGTTGCCATTTATAACTGATTGGACATTAGAAGGTCCTCAGGCTTTCAGTGAGAAAGGAAACCTCAGACTTCTGTGCATCAGTGGATTGGCAATTTGGCCGTACAAGACTCACTTCCTACCTGCGCTGAGGCTAGGGCAGTGTGGTACTGACCCAGACAGACTCCTAAACAAAATTTGTCTTCTTTTCCAGATTGTACCATTATAGCCCAGAAACATGAAGGTAATAAACAGGCCCTACTGTTGCAGGGAGCTTGAAGGAGCTGACCTACTGTCAGACACGTTTTACTCTAATGAACTGCACACTCCACTGCTGACATCGACTCGCCCAACTGCCTCAGGGGACAGGTAAAACAAAAATCAAAGTCAAATTCAAAAAGATTCTAATACATTTTGCTTTCTGGGAGGAAAAAAAATATCCCGTTCTGGGGCTCTTTTATTTATCACTTCATGTAGAAGGCAAAGGTGATGGTCTATACTTACAGGGCCCACATCAGTTGGGAAGGTGCTGTGTACTATGAAAAGACAGCAGGTAAGTGGGCATGGACTCCCACATCTATAACCACAGCACTTGGCTGAGGCAGGAGGATAGACATGATGCTGAGAGTGGTGGTACACTCTGTAATACCAGCTGTTCAGGAGGCTGAAGCGAGAGGATCGCAAGTGAAGACCAGCACGAGCAACTTAGAGCTGAGAATGTAGCTCAGTGCTTCCTCAAGCCCTACTACTGTATACAAAAAAATAAGACATCATATTCTTCCACTGCATCTTAAACTCTAGAATTTAGAAATTTAGAATTCTGCTAACCAGCTATTTACTTTATAGTTTTGTGGTGGTTCTTTATCATTCCTCAAAACTCTTTGTGTACTCTTTTGTTCATAGTCACTCTTTAGCTTTTTGCCTTAGTCTCCTATAAGATAGTAATTACTTATTGTGATTATAATTGAACCTAAAATACCAAGTTTTTACTGTGTCAGAACTGTGAAAGGCTTTATATGCAGTAACTCTTAAATCCTCCTGACGGCAGTATAAATCCTGTTATCTCCATTTTACAGATGGAGCAATAGTGCAGATAAATATTTGCTGAGGTCTTAGTGTTATTTTCTTCAGTATTTCATTTACTTGAATTATTTTGAAGGATTTGGAGTATTTAATGAAAAAAAACAGCCTGTATAGTTCTTGTTTTGTGTTCTTAAATTTCAGTTAGCCAAATTTCTAAAGCATCAATTTTAGGAATTCACTTAACCTCAATTCCAAAATGGAACGTCACAATTCCACTGAGGTAGTTCATTCCATTTTGACATTCCTAATCGTTAAATGATTTTACTTCTAATGAGAATAGTAATTTCTACCTATTGATTCTGATTGTTCCCTCTGAAGCCATTTAAAATAACAATTCAGCATCTCCAGGCTAGTAGCCATTCAAGAGTTGGAAGATTCTTTGGGCTTCTAAGGCTGTCTTTGCCAGACTCAGCACTGATTCTCCCAGACTTTGCTCTTCCTTCTTCCATGTAGGCTTTCACCATCTTGGGCATCTGTCATAGATCTATGCCAGTTTAGAAAGGTGTTCTTTATGTTGATGAGAAAAGTACCTTTTCATTAATTGTAAAACTAATAGTTTTCTTTTTAAATAATTTAGAAACTCTGGAAGGCTGAGGCAGGAGGATTGCAATTTTGACACCAGCCTGACAGTTTAGACGCATAACAAGACCCTGTGTCAGGATAAAAAATAAGAAGGCCTGGGGATGTGCCTTAGTGCAAAGACCCTGGGTTTGCTGAGCATGTAGGCGCGTGCCTATAATCCTAGCACTTGAGAGAGTAAGGCAGGAGATTGTTGTGGGTTCGAGACCAGCCTGGGCTACAAAGCAAGCTGAAGGTCATTCTGAACTGCAGAGCAAGACCCTGTCTCAAAAAAAACTCTGGGTTCAATCTCCAGTACTGCGAATAAATAACCATAAAATTCTATGCAGAAAACAAAATTTTCATTGTTCCAACAGAAAAAAAAAAATTATTCAATTAAAGCACAAGAAAGAAAACCGCCATATTTATTTTATTCAGGAATAATTAATCACTGTTAATGTCTCAGCTTGTGTCCTATTTTTTAAAGTGTGAATATCATAATCAGCAAAAGTTTTTGCAAACTGACATTTTTAGTTAATGGAAAGAAGTACATTTACATTTAGAAAAGAAAACACTCAAGTCACTTAGCCCTTTGCTGCTCCTATTGTTCCACTATAACTTGATTGAGCAAGCTCATGCTTTTTCATCTGTGGGGGCCATCAAATAGGCAGTTTCCCTTGAGTCAGAGGAAACAGTGGTGACAGACCTCCAGAATGTGTGCCACAGCAGACTGTATCATTGAAAGCTCTGAATAGTTCACCATCACAGTGTAGATCATGTATGATTGTCTTGTCACCAGTTCAGACTTAGGAGCTTCTCTTGAGAATGGGGAGCCC